TAGTTGTGAATCTTGTCTACTTGGAAAAATGACAAAGTCACCTTTTACTAGCACTTGTGCTAGGGGTGAAGGTTTGTTGGATCTCATACACATAGATGTGTGTGGACCCTTCAGAACTGCCACTAGAGATGCTAATCGCTTTTATGTGACTTTTATTGATGATTTTAGTAGATATGGATATGTCTACTTAATCAAACATAAGTCGGAAACTTTTGATAAATTCAAAGACTTTAAGAAATAAGTGGAGAATTAGTTGGGCAGGAACATTAAGATGCTTTGATTCGATCGAGGTGGTGAGTATCTTAGTACCAAGTTCCTTGACTATCTTAAGGAATGTGGGATGGTCTCACAACTGATACCTCTTAGAACACCACAATTGAATGGTGTAGCTGAAAGGCACAATCGAACCTTGTTGGACATGGTTCGTTCCATGATGAGTCGAGTTTTGCTACCAATCTCATTTTAGGGGTATGCCTTAGAGACTGCCGCCCATATCCTTAACCTAGTCCCTAAAAAGAAGGTTTCCAAAACACCTCACAAGATGTGGACTGGAAAAGTTCCAAATCTAGACCACATCAAGGTTTGGGGTTGTGAGGATTTCGTGAGACACGAGAATCACGACAAGCTCGAACCTCGAAGTGAGAGGTGTATTTTCATCGGCTATCCACATAAATCTTTTGGTTATATATTCTATAGACCCAGTGACAATGTGGTCTTTGTAGCAAGAAGAGAAGTCTTTCGAGAGAGAGAACTAATAAGCCAAGGAGACAATGGAAGGCAAGTTGACCTTGAAGAAATTCAAGAGTAAAGCGGTGAAGGAACCTCAAACCCTAGCCCTCAACCTGAGGAGGAAACTCCTGTTGAGCCGAATGAAGAGTCCATACCTCTGAGGCGTTCCACCAGAGCTAGGAATGCACCTGAACATTATTATGGTTTCCATATTACTGCAGAAGGAGATACCTTTATCAGTGATAATACACTGATAAATCTAGAAGATCGTAACAACTACACGGAAGCCATGGCAGGCCTTGAGTCTGCTAAATGGAATGAGGCTATGGATAGAGAGATGCAATCCATGTATGACAATCAAGTTTGGAACTTGGTTGACAATGTACCAGGTCGTAAGATAGTAGGGTGCAAATGGATCTTCAAGAAGAAGACCGACATGGATGGTAATGTACACACTTATAAGGCCCAACTGTTTGCAAAGGGTTATTCATAAACTCCGGGAGTTGATTATGATGAGACCTTTGCACCAGTGGCCAAGATTAAGTCTATTAGGGTTTTGTTAGCCATTGTTGCATTTCATGACTATGAAATATGGCAAATGGATGTCAAATCCGCTTTCCTTAATGGAAAGTTGGCTGAGGATGTTTACATGGTTCAACCAGAGGGTTTTGTAAGTACAAAATACCCTAATAGGGTGTGTAAGATTGAAAAATCCATATATGGATTAAAACAAGCACCTCGCAGATGGAATCTTTGCTTCGATGAGAAAGTCAAAGAGTTTGGCTTTTCGATATGTGAAGATGAATCTTGTATATATGTCAAGGCTAGTTGGAGTATAGTTAGCTTTTTGGTACTGTATGTGGATGACATACTGCTCATAGGAAATGACATCCCAACCTTGCAGGAAGTGAAATCCTGTCTTGGGAAGTGTTTTGCTATGAAAGACCTTGGAGTATAGTTAGCTTTTTGGACTTAGTCAGAGTACCTACTTGGACAAAGTGCTAAAGAGGTTTAGTATGAAAAATTCCAATAAAGGAGATTTACCTATTTAGTGTAATGCCAGACTGAGTAAAACTCAGAGCCCGAGTACAGATGAAGAGATAACTGAGATGAGTCGAGTCCCATATGCTTCCGTTGTAGGCTCGATCATGTATGCTATGACTTGTACTCATCCTGATGTTGCTTTTGCTTTAAGCATGGTTAGCAGATATCAAAGTAATCCTGGAAAGGCTCACTGGACTGCAGTAAAGAATATTCTCAAGTACCTACGAAGGACTAAGGACTGGGTCCTTACCCTTGGTGGGAGTGATGACTTGAAAGTAGCAGGGTATAGTGATGCTAGCTTTCAAAATGATAGGGATAATTTCCGCTCTCAGTTGGGCTCGGTCTTTAGCCAAAATGGAGGGGCAATTACTTGGAAAAGTTCCAAGCAAGATACAATGGATGATTCAACTTGTGAATCAGACTATATAGCAGCAAGTGAAGCAGCAAAGGAGGCTATATGACTAAGGAACTTCATTGGAGACCTTGGAGTTGTACCAGCTATTAAGGATCCCATGGAAATTTTCTGTGATAGTGAAAGTGTAGTTGCCTTAGCAAAGGAACCAAGGGATCACAGAAGATCCAAGAAAATCGACAGAAAATATCATTTCATCAGACATCGAATAAAAGAAGGAATTCTCGTGGCAAAGAGAGTATCATTAGATGAGAACCCGACAGATACCCTCACGAAGGGACTGAGTAGGGTTAAGCATCTTCAGCATGCTAGGAGCATAGTGCTAAGAGATGATATTAGTTTTTAGAAGTCAGATAACTTTGAAATATGTAAAATTTAATTGACATTTGATGATAAATAAAAGTATTTATTTATGAGTAAAGTGTTGCTATCTCTTGTCAATCATTTGATAGTATTTCTTTTTGCATGTTTTGACTTCCAGAATAATTATGTTATGGTATATATATCATATTATTCAAATTCTCCACAGTCAATCATATGTTGGAAGTACATATGAATCAAGACTATCATGGGTTGGTTTGTAGAGGTCCAAGATGTTGGACAAAGGGGGCTACAACACTCAAGAGTGCTCATACGTTCTGAGTATTGGATTCAACCCACACTCAGGTATCACTTCATGGAATTTATCTCGAGTGATCATGAGATGGTAATATCATATAAGTCATTAAACCTAGACATATGATTTGTTACCTGTGAGTTGGTTATGCATTGATTGTAAGAAAACGCATTGGTAACTCGATGTTATAAAACATACCTTTGTGTGTAATTCAACAAGTAGTAGAGCAAACATATGAGTCAAAGTTTATTTGTTCCTTCTTGGATTAGAAGCGATATCTAGGCCCCTCGATGATTTTGTTTTGACCCATGTATCGGGCCCGGTCAGAACTAAATTGATGTGTTCAATTAAGTTCTATGTCAAACAAATAGGAAATCGGGAAACAAATGCTAGACAATAGAAATAAATTGTTCCATGTGTTTGTGCGGCTGATATCTAGAACAGAGGATTATATGATCACCTATCTAAAATGGCACACCATCATCTTCTCAGTTTTGAGAGACCTTGAAAGAGCTACGATTACTGATCGGTTCCTAAAGTCATACTCACAACTATAGTTATTAGACTTATCCAAGTGGGAGACTGTTGGATATAGTGTCTAAGTCCATAACTATATTTGGTATGTACTTGACCTGACCCGACATTGTCCATTTGGGTTGCATGGCATCATGCACTTGGATAGACTAAATGAGAGAAATAAGAAACTTATGGTTTATTAATATATTATAAGTTCTAATATATTAATAATAAGAATAATAATATTTAGTTAGTATTGATCAATAATTACTTTAGAATTAATTATGTGATCAAAAGAAGACTAATTAAATATATGTGTTGATTGAGTTAATCATCCATAACTTATATAGTGGGCCAAGGCTCCATGGATTATCAAGTTGGGTTAAACCCATAAGATGCTCCATGGGGTTTACATAACCCGTGGGTGATGGAGATGAAAGGTCATGAATATTAGGGTTTACATGGTGTAACCCTAATTGTAATATACTATATCAAGAAGCTATTATTCACCATTTTCGGCCACTAGAGTGAATCAAAGAGGGCTAGCCGAAAATCCAAGTGTTCTTATTCTCTTAGAGTTTATTCCAAGTGTACTTGGTGTTGTGTGAAGCATTTGAGGCATCACACTTGAGGTGCTAGGCTCACAAGGTTTCAAAGGAATCCAAGCTACAAAGAGGTATGTAATTCTTACTAACTATTAGAATAAAAGATCCCCATGTATGCTAGATAGGATTATGAACCTTAGAAAATCATTTTGCATGTATCTTAGTCAAACATAGATTCAAGGTTCCTAGGGTCGCATGTACACCATAGGAGTGTTAAAAGGATCAAAACCCAACGCTTTCAATCCTCCATTAGAAATCACTACAAGAAAACGACCCTTTTATGACGCGCAAACAACGAAACTCGGAGATTGATGTTACGCAAAAGAGAGTGACGTTAAAAAAGTTTCATCTCTTCAAAAAATTTAAGGATTTAGGTCACGCATTATTGCGTGCCCTTGAACTAGTGTCTAAAGAAAAAAATTAAAAACACGGAGGATGCTTTATATTAAACGTGCGTCGTCTGTGGCTATCGCTTTATAATTTTAATGAAACGCGCATTTTAATAGCTAAGGGGGGAAATGGAATCCATAAAAATCAAAACCCCTGCCTGTTCGATCCTTTCTCAGCCATCGACCCTAATCTTTGAATTAGAAAGAAAGAAGCCTTAGGGATCGACTTCACCTTCATACACCTCCAACGCCTCCAACCATAGTCCTTCATCCAACACAACTCGGGGTTTTTTGCATGAAAACCTACAACTACATCCTCTACATGAAAAAAAACCCTAATTGGCGGCCACTTTTTAACATCTGTTATCCTTGGGATGAAAGCCTTCTGTTGACATCAGGGTCCTATTGGAATCTTCTGTTAGGGATGATTGCTCATATTTAGATCATACATCCCCTCTAACCAAACCATTAGCATCACAAAACAATCCTAATCTTCTGTTCGTTCGTCTTGGCGGTTAGAGAGGGAATTGTTCAAGGTTTTTGTGTGGGTCTGTCAGATTTATGAGTCACCGTCGAGGGAAGAGGGGGAAGAGGACTTCGAGACAAACTTTTATCCAACCTAAGGTATCGATTCCTATTATTTTCTTCTCCTTCTTTTCTGTTTTCCCCGCTAAGCACCATCTACCGCCATGATCGGAAGCCTAGGCTGTCGGCGTGTTTCTATGTCGCCACCGTCCACAATTAGACAGTTGGAGGGTGAATGACTTTCTCCATCAGTTCAATTCTTGCATAGAAGTTGCAATCCAAAAATAAAAAGAATAGTTGTTTGTCGAGGTTAGTTACATTTATAAAATGATTTTGTTTTTTTACATTAAAAAAGGATTAAAATCTTTTTCTTTCCTACTTCATCTCACTTTGTCATAAATGTAGCTTAGCAAAATGATGCTTCTGAAGTATTTGGAGTGACATTTGACTGTTTACACCAATCGTTCAAATCATTTGGTTCTGGTTGTGGTGTTATTTTTGATATTGAAAAAGGAAAATAGTAGAATGGGAATGGGGGAATGGGAGTTTGAAAACGGGTAATTTTTTGGGAATATTTATAAAAGATTTCAAATGGTTCACATACAAAATATATTCTTGATTTTGTTTTTTTCTTTTCTCAATAGCCTGATTCTGAAGAAAAGGTAAGAGATTTCATCTTGATTGAAAAAAAAATATAATGTATGATTGTTTACATTACAGGTGGAATATTTAAAAAAAAAACAGTTGAAGATATGGCTTCTAGAACTTGTCCCCCTAATTAGTTTTTACAAATTGCCTCTTGTGTTACCAATGAGTTGTCATATATCTAATATCTGACAGTCTCTCTGTTTTTACAGGAATTAGATGCCCCTCTGATCGCACTATAAAGGTAATCACAATTAGAACATGCTTAATTGTCTACCAGTAATTGATACAGTGATAACCAACAGTTTAAAACTATCTTTTTAATTTTAGACTTGGAATCTTGGTTCACCTGATCCTAACTTCACACTAGATGCACATCTCAAGGGAGTGAACTGTGTGGATTACTTTACTGGTGGTGATAAACCTTATCTTATTACTGGATCAAATGATCACACTGCTAAGGTTTGTCCCCCTTTTTGTTTGGCTATGTGTATAAATGTGTCTGCAATTTGCATTTTATTTTATAAATAATTTGAAACAGGTATGGGATTATCAAACTAAAACTTGTGTCCAAACTCTAGAAGGTCACACACACAATGTTTATGCTGTATGTTTCCATCCCGAGCTTCCAATAATAATGACAGGTTCAGAAGATGGTACTGTTCGTATATGGCATTCAACCACTTACAGGTGAGCTCTTGTTTTTTACCTTTAAGGGTGTGTTTGTTTTGTACATTCTGAAGGAATCGAAATGCTAGATTCCATTCCATGGTGTGTTTGGTTTCCAAATGGATGGAATTCAATTTTTGTTGGATTCCTTCAAATTCCATGTTTGATGGATGGAAGGAAATCAATTTCTTTCTTCATTTCCTATCAAAAGACCAAAATACCCTCGTTATACATATGTTAAAAATGTAATTTTTTTGACTTTATGCCACTCTTTTTTTTATTCAGACTTGAGAACACCTTGAACTATGGGCTTGAAAGGGTTTGGGTTGTTGGATACATGAAAGGTTCACGTCGGTAAGTTTATATAGCACTTTTTGTTTTTAGTTTTGTGGGTCTTGAATCTTGACGCTTCTTCATTCATCTGGATTTATTGTAATTACTGTTTTTACAGGATTGTTATTGGCTATGATGAAGGAACCATAATTGTGAAAATTGGACGTGAAGAGCCTGTAGCCATGGACAATAGTCGAAAAATTATATGGGCTAAACATAATGAAATTCAAACTGTTAACATCAAGAGCGTGGGAGCTGATCATGAGGTTTGGACTTTAAAGCCCATATACATGTTATGTTATGTCAACAATGAAATGGGAAAAATAAAAATCTATTTTTTATTCAGGTTTCTGATGGAGAGAGACTGCCTTTAGCAGTTAAAGAACTAGGAACATGTGATCTTCATCCACAAGTGAGTTATGCTTGTTCCTGGCTTCCTTTAAACTGAAAATAGTCAACCATATGGACTTTGACTTTTCTATTTTTTCCACAGAGCTTGAAGCACAACCCAAATGAGAGGTTTGTTGTTGTTTGTGGTGATGGTGAATACATCATATATACAGCTTTGGCATGGAGAAATAGATCATTTGGGTCTGCATTAGAGATTGTTTGGTCATCTGATGGTGAATATGCTGTTAGGGAAAGTACATATAAGATCAAGATCTTCAACAAATCTTTTCAAGTTCTCCCATAACATTCCAAAGGGTACATTTATCATTTACTAATCTACTCAAAGATTTATGTTTCGGGTGTTTAATTTAACCAGGAAAAGAAAAGCATCCAGCCAACTTTTTCAACTGAGAAAATATTCGGAGGATCTTTACTTGCAATGTGTTCAAATGATTTTATATGTTTCTATGATTGGGCTGAGTGTAGATTGATTCAACGAATTGATGTCAATGTCAAAGTAAACACTAGTTACACAGTGAGGCATTAGCCACTCTCATTCTTAACAAACTCCTTGCTGGTACCAAGGTATCATTTTTTATAATTGTTTATACAATTATTTCATCAAATGTTTGTTTATTTGTTTCTTATAATTCTTCCAGTGTGTGACAACCCGATATTTCGAGACAATGTAATGTAAAACCAATCAAAATTTGGTCAAAATATAACGTTCCTAAAATCTTATTTGGGTTAAATAAAGTAGTAGGAATCGTATCAAGGTTTCCAAGCATATAAAGAACACTAAAATCCGAGTTATAACGAAGAAGTTATGACCAACCGAAGATTCTCGGCAAAAACCGGCAACACTGATAGACGTAAAACGCGAAGTTTCAATACAATAGTTTTTGGCCTTAGATATCTAAATGAAATTTTTAGATGTCATCAAACCGTAAACGTACATAAAAAGAACGTCCAAATCTGACTTCGTATGAGGAAGTTGCGATTTTTCTAGGTTACAGATATAACAGTAGACAGCTAAAAACTCGAATCGGAGATCGAGCGACTTTTGGCCGAAATGACCTAAACAAGAATTGAAGGTCTCGTCAATGGTATTTCAGCGGTAAAAGGTCTGGTAAAAACCGACGTCAGATAAAGAAGTTATGAATTTTTAAAGAAATTCCTTAATCACGTCATTTTAATAAATAAATAATAAAAATAATTTCGGAATTTGCCAACGGAATCTAAACGAAAGTTGTAGATCGTAGTTTCACCTTCGCGGGGATATAATGAACGTCGAAAACGGAGTTCGTATGAAGGAGATATGAATTTTAGAAGTTTAATTAAAATAAATATAAAAATAAATATTTATTCTTGGTAATATCCGAAAGGGAGTCAGCGGATAGGGCCGATGTACGCGCCGCGTACTCTCGTACGCCTCGCATACTCGAATGAAGGGCCTCGGATCGTCCACGTCGCCCTATGCGAAGCTACCGAACCGTCCCATCCGACCCGCCCCATCCGACCTGTCCCGTCCGAAGTTTGTAAGCGATGACGCACGGGTACGCGCTGCGTACGCCCGTACGCCCCGCGTACGGAGGCAGTTCAGCCCCCTATAAAAGGGATGCGAGCCTTTCCGAAAAATTTGTTCATTTTCTCTCTTTCTCTCACGATCTTGCCTCGATTTCCGTGCCCGTTCAAACCCGAAGCTCTGGTCTTTTTGCTCAAGTCCCGAGGGTCGATTTTACTCCCGAGATTCCCGAGAATCCCAAGAAAAATCCGTTTCCCGAGACGAAACTCTGCCCGGTTTTCCATCTCGCTATCTTCAAACTTCCAAGTGAGTTCATACCCCTTAACTAATGTTTTAAACTACTTTTAAATGCTTTATGGGGGGGGGGGGAATACAAGTAGAATCATGCTAGGATTATATCAATCGCAGGCGATTAATAAGTAGAATTACGCTAGTTATTACATCAATTACATGTGATTAATATACAGCATTCGAAAGATTTGGCTACTCATTAGCCGTCTTACCAAACAGTTTCCTTCAAATGACTCTTATAAACATTTTATATGTTTTAAACTATTTATTACACTGTACATCTTACTCGGTACATTACCTTTCAAACTTATTTACAACTATGTTTCAATCAAATGTTTCCTTATACTCAAAACTGTTTTATCATACTTATGCCTTCAAATTGTTTTATAGATCGACATCGAGTCGATCTTTTCTTAAAATAATGTTTATGTTTCAAATGTCTTACAAAATTCATTTATGCTTTTATATTATAAATTGCATGCCTCTATATGTATAGTTATATAAGAAATGTTTAAAAGACTTAGGAAGGCTATCCACCCTATTTCCTTTTCGCGCCTTGAGATGTGGTCTGGTGGGATTTTGGGTATTCGTCCGAAAGACGTTTAAATATTAGTTATATATCATGTGTACATATATAGTCATAAAAGGTCTTTCCAGTTCATCCCACGCCCTTAGTTAGTAAGGGTATACATCCATGACCATACGTACCAATTAGACTGCTAGTAAACTACCATATGGGTAGTTTAGGAAGATGCTAGAACCGTTACTAGAACGCGATATCATACAATGAGTCAGTTCATTCATGAGTCAATACTTTCTAGAACATTACATATACAACTATACTAGAACAAGAAACATTACCCTTACATTAATACGTTAACGATTGTGATCCACTGTATCGGAGCATGCCTTAAATGTCATGGCCCGAGTTGTAACCAGAATTCTCTTGGAGGGAGAGCGTTGAGTTTGCGTATAGATCTATACTGGATTGACTATCCTACACCTTGCTGCTAGCTACAGTGGGACCGATAGGTCTGCGGGTGCCAAACGTCAAAACTTATTTTTCGACTATACGTTGTCGTTGTTACCAGTCGATAGTATGGTGCAATTTATTACATGATACCTTAATATAAATCCGGTTTAAGGTAGTTAGTACGACAGTAGTTCCTATAAAACAAAACTACAGTACTAAAATGATTTACCCATTACATTTTTAGTGATAACCTCACTTAAACTGTAATGTACAAACTATATTTTGTTAAAAGATAGTTACACTTGGGTAAATTACACACTTTTACGACAAACGAGTATGCAAAACAGCTAAGCCTTGGTAGAAGGCTACTTTAATAGAAAATATAGGTTTTTCTGAGAGATTCAAACTTCTACAAACACTTACAAACCTTTACATACCTTTTACAAACTTATGCTTGATACATGTTCAAACATTTTTGGATGACAAATACCGACACTAAAATACTTATGAACTCACCAGCTTAATGCTGATAAACTCTTTCAAAATAACTTGTATTCTCAGGTCGTCAGTAGACAGGTACCGAGGCCAGCTTTTGAGAAGATGGAGCGTATCCAAGACTCATCTTATTATTTTGATTTACGTTATTTTGGTGTCTATAATGTACAGATGACGCTTGTATTAAAATTTTATATTTAATGCAATGGATGATGTTGTTTGCTTATTTACATTTACTGTGTTGTGATACGTTACATGACGTCCTTCGCCCCAGAACATTTCCGCCGTTCTCGGTTTTGGGGTGTGACAGATTGGTATCAGAGCATTGTTTATAGTGAAGCAAGTATATCAACCCATAAAGGATATACTAAACTATAAACCCATTTGGGATTAAAACACTCTGACCAAGAGTCTATACTTTAAATACTAAAATAGTTAATTAAGTATACTAGTCTGCATGCATACTAAAATCAGTGTCACTAGGACAGTACAAAACAATTACGATTGTTGGACAACACAAGTGGGCTTAGAGACATATGGTCAAAACTGGGAAGATATAGCCTGATCACCTATATTATCTGAGGGTTGACTAGCATGTGCCTAAGCTTAAGTGTGTGGTTGCAACAATGCTAAAATCTTACCAACCCTACCTCAATGAGAACAATAGAACATAACATTAAAAATTTAAAATACTATAGGAGTATTTGGTGTTACTATAAGTACTTTATACTTGAGAACTAAAATGGGATCTTCATTATTAAGTTGATAGTTGCTAAGTAGATACACTGAGGCTATATGTAATTAGAATGTTATAGACTTAGAATCTGTGACAATGTTGCCTTGCCCCTATTCTGTGTGAATTTGGAATTAAGGTCACTTATTCGAAGGTCTATCCTGTTTAGATTACACATAGCTGGTATGCACTTCACAAATAGCGATGTAACTAATGAAGGTGTTCTAAATAATTATCTAGATAGTTCGTCAAATAATATTCCCCTTACCCTAAATTCTCGCTTAGAAATCATAGCTGGTTGGCTTGAAGAAGAACCAGTGAATGATCAACCTATCCCCTTGAATGATCACCATGATGAAGACTTTTCGTATGATGCTAACTCTGAACCAGAAGTTGAGAACCTACCCTGAGCAACTCCCGTTCCAACTCTTAACCCTCGTCCGGTTTTCATGACCTGACCCTGAGAGAGTAGAATGCTTGGAAATAGGGAGCCAAGGACAAGATCAGTCTATGCTATTTGATGGCGACCGAAGCTTTTACGACTTGAGCATTGAGGGCTTAGCAGATATAGTCTTGCCAATCTTGGTCCGTAGAGAGACCCGAGATGAGATTCGAGGTAGGACAGCCCTACATCAGATTTCAGAAATATTCACCTATGCTAAGATGCATACCCTCCACACCATTCGTCTAGAATATGCTCACGAGAGATCAGAGAGAAACCATGAAACCTTACTGCAAGCACTGACTGAATCACGAGCCGAAGTTATAGGGCTCCAAGTACGACAGATGGTGTGCGAAAGACACCTATGCGACGTGGAACGTCAATTGGCTGAACTAAGCGTTCACCAGAGGGAAGACCGTCGCCAGTAGTAGACGCTTTACCTTATTTCCTTATAAAGAGGAATCGTATTTTTCTGTCTATGCTTGATGTGGCATTTTCTATGAAATTATCTTGTACCGCAAGTACTTTAGTTAGGTCTTTATGCTGTCAGGAAACTACCTCCTATGGATATGATGTAAGACCTTTACAAGGTCATTTTCCTGAACCTTTACGTCGTAAATATCCAAGATATTGACAGCCGACTAACTTTTGTGTCATTCTTCATTCAAGTACTCTTATCATACTTTCATTGGAGTCTATATGAAACATGCTTTAGTCAAGTCATTGGACTATAGCGATTTATCTCCGGAGACACTTCCAAGTCTCTTTCCGTGGTCGGATCTTGTTATTCACCAACCCATGATATCTGAGCTCGAACGACAAAGGTATTGCGACCATTCTACGAA